GGAATCCGCGCTTGGTGCCAGCGAGGTAGGCACTAAATAGAACCGAAGTCGTTAAAACGTTCCCCTTTTGGCCTCCCGTGCCGCTCGACCGGCCGGCCGTTTCCCTCATCCAAAGGCGGCCTTCTCCTGGAGGAGCAAACTGCAAACCAGGCTGGCTCGTCGCGTCAGGAGAGGCGCTGCTCAGTGCGCCGCCACGCCGCCGCAGACAAGCCGTGCGTGGCCGCCCGCTCAAACCGTGTCTGCGTTTCAGTTGTTGCCGATCTCCGAGCCCATTGGCTGGCTGGTCGTATTTGGATGGACGCATTCTCCCTCAAGAACGTCGATGTTTTGGTCTCCTGCGCCGCCCAGGAAGGAGAAAACACAACACCCACACCCCTCGTTCGTTTTCTTGGTTCGCCCAAGGATGACGATCATGGCTCCGTCACCCCAGGGCCAGTCGGAATGCGAAGATGAGAGGCCTGAGGTGGAACGTGAAGCAGAAAAGTTCCGGGCCTGAGCCACACTGGGTCACTGGGCCAGGGCCAGGGCCAGGGCCATCTGTTGCACCGAATGGCCTCTCTTTTTTTCTGTTTGGGCTTGGGTGGCCCAAATGAGGCCAAGGCCAATCGAACCACGTAGGCAGCGCTTGTAGCGATCAAACCCGCCCGTAGCACTCTTGCGATGCAGGGGACAGCCGGCCCGTAGACTGCTATCTGTGATGGGGCCGTGGATTGCCGTCGCCGATTCGCCCTCAAATCGTCCCATCCAGGCCCTCGTCGAGGCGAGACTGGCACGACGCACCGAATGACGAGCTGGCACGCGCAACTCGCATCCGACCACCTGGCTAGTGCCTCGTGGGTTGCAATGGACCAAGGAATTTGTTTGCCTTCATCGCCGGGCTTTGCCGAGGCGACCGGGGAGGGGCTCGGAAGCCCGATGTGATAGCTCATGGTTCACCAAGACAGCAAGAGATATCCACGTCTCCAGACCGCTCCAATTGCCTCGTCGTCTAGGCACTCATTCGTATATATCGTCGACAAGTATATGCTGTTTTCGCTCACCGGACCTCGGTAGCCCACGGCTAGCAAGCCCGATCGTCGTCGGCGCCGCCCTCTGGGCTCGTATGTCTGAACCGCGCAATTCCGCCGTGAATAGCATGTTATCTATCAGATATTGCTCCGTCCGACACGAGATGCCACGTCCCGTGTATAACCTGTCCCGCGTGATCTCGTGTCCTCCTCACCACCGCACCCTTGCAAGCCTCCTTGCAAGCCTCCTTGCAAGTCTCCTCGGCGGGGGTCTCCCCATAGCGTGGTCGACTGGCGAGGTGGTAGTAGAAATACACTGGGCTCACCGCCGTCGGGGGCCAGGCGGGAGGCGGCATTGCATATCTGCGACACGGCGAAATAGGCAAGGACCCCGACGAGGCGGGAGAGACATGCAGCATCGTTTGTGTCGTCCACCTCAGGGCCGCATGGATATAGGCCGGCCAGGAGGCCAGGAAGCCTGGAGGCCAGGCGGCCAGACGGCCAGGCAGCCCACGGGCAGCTGCGCAAAGTCGGTGTCGGTCCCATGGTCAGATGATTCCATGTCCGAATCACAAATCCGTCGTGTGGTGTGAGCTGTCATTTTTTCTTTCTCGTCGTATCCATTCTGCTGTGCCCCTCATCCCTCTTCCGCCTGTTCGGCTTCCGGCATGATTTGAGTCGACGCGATCCAGTTCTCCATGCGAGCCTGCCCGCCCCCGGCGGCTCCGTCAGCAGCCACCCCCCTCCGGGTGCTGGCAGCTGGCGCTCTACCTGATCCGGACGAGGCCGCAGCCGACGAGCGGCCGCCCGGTGGTGCGTTGCCGCGCCTCTTGACCACCAGGCAGAGCACGCGCCCGTAGATGGCGAACCCTTCGTACGACACATCCAGCGCCACTTTCTTCTTCTTCTCGCCCTGCTTCTCGCCCTCGGCCCTGGCTCGCTTGGGCGGTCTACGTAGGCGAGGGGAATCGTTTGTTCCGTCCTCAGACTGGCTATCGTCCCCTTCATGACTGCCCGTCTCGTCTTCGCTGTCGACGACAACGTATTCGCCGTCTCCACCTCCAAGTGCCCTTGCGTTACTCTCGTCGTCGTCGTCGTCCACATCTAGAGCAATAGGGCCGCTTTGGATCGGCTGCCGTCGCCGTTTGGTGCCCCGCACCTCGGTTCCCTCTAGGCCAGGCCTGGGGGCCTCGGGTATGTCGAACAGGGAGATATGGGCGGCATCATCACTGCCTTCACTCTCTTCGCGACGCAAAATGGGGATTTCGTCCCCGTCCGCCGTCTGTATTAGCTCTATGCCAGCGGCATCGCCCTCGGCGTCGACTCTGTCATCGTCGCCGCCTAGCTCGATGGCAGCTTCACGCGAGGAGCCCTCCCCGCTACCCGTGAGCTTTTTGGAGTTGGACTGTAACCGTGTCTGCGTCTTATCCCGGGCATGCTTGTGCTTGTAGAGGATGCTGTGCCGCGTATTCGTTTCGGTCAGGAAGATGGCCACCTCGAAGTCATCTGTGCACGCGTAAGTTGCCTTGGGTTAGTCCGGGGTCGCCTTGACGCTGGTACATAGGGACGCGCCGAGAATGCCCACCTTCTACGACGATATCCTTGATCGCCTTCTTTTTGGTGCTCTTCTTCCTGGACCGTTCCCTCTCCTCGCGCAGCTTCGGCAACACCAAGGGGCGCACACTCTCAATGACCTTGGGGAGGATGGGGTTCCGTGGATTTAGAAGCCACGACTGCGCGAGGGCTGGGTTCTCGAGGTATATACGGACCTCGAGAACCGAGTATTTTGTGATGCGTAGGTAGCGGCGGACGGGGGACATATTTGACCGTGTTGGGTAGCTCGGATGTCTCGGCGATAGCAATTCACGGCATTTGGAGGCCAACGTCTGTGTCCCGTCTGATGGGGGAGATGGGAGATGCAAGGGGGCAAGGCCTGAGAGGGCTGGGACTCGGCGGATGGGAAGGTATAGATCGTGAATACTCTCAAGGCTCAAGGCAAGCTGAAGCTCTTGATTTTGGGTTGGGGTCGGAGGCGGGGAGACGTTGCAGCTGGAGCTGGAGCTGGAGCTGAAGCTCCTCCCTGTCAGCCCTGTAGCTTGTCACTCCAGCTTACATCACCGTGCATGACGCCAGAGAGCTTCGGATGGGGGCATTGGGGGAGGCTGATTGGGCGCATTGTCAGGGTCCCCATATTAAATTGCGACGCGGGTGAATTGATCTCGGCCGAGTAGAAAAATCGCACGGGAAGATTTTGAGTCGAAGCTCATCGCCGTCAGAGCTTCAATTTGCCTGCGTAATCCAGCCAACCATTGAAGCTCCTGTGCTCAGAATGCGTATGTGAGAGAACATGAGTAGCAATAAGTGGGCGCTGACGCTTCGGTTGCCCAAGTCGGCCTTTCCGTGAGTGACGTCACACGCCTGTTGTTCGGCAGAAAAGCCAGCCCAGGCATGGATGACCCAGGCACGGATGGCCCAGCGCTCAAGATCTCGCCATACTTGACGAGAAACGACAAGGACGGCATGCTGACGGGCTTGCTACTGGGACGCCTCGCCGTCTAGGCCACGTCCTGACTCCGGCCTGCGCCAGCATTTTATACGAAAATGCGCCGATGACCTGTACCGCTGGCAGGCCGTGCACCGGCCAGCCACACGCCCCTTCGTTCTTCATGATGGCCCGCCATACGCGAACGGCAAGCTGCACGTCGGCCACGCCCTCAACAAGCTCCTCAAGGATATGATCCTAAGGGTCAAGATCCAACAAGGTGTGCCCATGGCCCGAGCCTGGCCGCAAGGCTGTGGCTGGTGGAGTTGCCCCTGAGGAGGAAGCCCTGGGTGCCGTGTCTAACCTCAAAGCCGTCCGGGCTTGCTGCTGCTTGCGACAGGATACCGAGTGCACTACCGTCCCGGGTGGGACTGCCATGGCCTGCCAATCGAGCTACAGGCGCTCGCCAGCTTTCAAGCGGCGAGGAGTGGTGGCAACTTGGGGCCAACTTCTTCCGCTCTGACCCAAGACATGGAACCCGCCCGGGTCCGTGGGCTGGCGCGTGGACTCGCCGAGAGCACAGTGGCGAAGCAGATGCGCGAATTCCGGTCCTTCGGCGTCATGGCCGACTGGGACGCCCACTGGACCACGATGCAGCCGTCCTATATTTACGACCAGCTCGGCCTGTTTCGCCGCATGGCCGCACGCGGCCTCATCCAACGCCGCCACAAACCCGTATATTGGTCTCCCTCATCACGCACCGCCCTGGCCGAGGCCGAGCTTGAGTACAACGAGAACCATCAGTCGACGGCCGCCTATGTAAAGCTTCCTGTCTGCGACGCAGACAGCGGCCGCCTCGCGGGGATCGACCGCTTAAAACTCGTCATCTGGACGACAACTCCATGGACCCTGCCTGCAAACCAGGCTGTTGCCGTACACGATGATCTCACCTACATGGTCGTCAAGCTAGGCGACGATGCCCTTGTCATTGGCGAGGACGCACTGGAGAGGATCATGGCGGCGTGCAGCTTGGAGGAGGCGCCCGAGGTGCTCGTTTCCTCCCTCAAGGGCAGCGAGCTCAAGGAATTGACTTACACGAACCGCCTCCAAGGGGCCGAGGCCAAGCCGCAGCCCGTCGTCCACGCCGGTTTCGTTTCGGCCGAGTCCGGCTCTGGGCTCGTCCATCTGGCACCTGGTCACGGCTTCGACGACTACGACGTCTGCATCCCGCTCGGTATGCCCGCTGTGTCGGCCGTCGATGACGCGGGGCTGTTCACTGAGGAGGCGTGCCGCCTCTTCCCGGGCCTCCCCCGCTCCGGCGGCGGTGCGGACGCGCTCAAAGGCGGCAGCAAGATGGTCCTTCAGCTCCTCGGCGACGACGTCCTGCATTCGCACAAGCACCGCCACAAGTACCCCTACGACTGGCGCACCAAGCAGCCCATCGTTGTGCGGGCCACAGCCCAGTGGTTCGCCGATGTCGGGTCCATCAAGCAGGACGCGCTCGACGCGCTCGCCCCTGTCCGTTTCATTCCCGAGACGGGCCGCACGCGGCTTGAGAGCTTCATCAAGGGCCGCAGCGAGTGGTGCATCTCTCGGCAGCGCGCATGGGGCGTGCCGATCCCGGCCCTGTACGACGAGGCCACCGGCGAGGCCGTCATGACGGACGAAGTCATTGCCCATATAATCCAGGCCATCAAGAAGTGCAATATCAGCCGCTGGTGGTCGGACGCGCCTGATGAGCGCCGATGGATTCCCAAGGCGCTCCGGGACGGGCGCAAGCTGAGGAGAGGCACAGACACCATGGACGTCTGGTTCGATAGCGGTAGCAGCTGGATGCAGCAGACGGTGACATCGGGGCCAGCAGATGTGTATCTTGAGGGTACTGACCAACACCGGGGATGGTTTCAGTCCAGCCTCCTCACGCGGGCCGCAGACCCTGCGGGGGGCTACTCGACACCGTTCAGGACTCTTGTGACACACGGCTTTACACTGGATAGCAAGGGGAAGAAGATGTCCAAATCTCTCGGCAACATCATCTCGCCGGCCGACGTGATGGAGGGCCGGCTGCTGCCCCCTCTGAAGTCGAACAAGAAATCAGAGAAGGCCCTCGGGACGCAAGAAAACCAGGACGCTCCTGAAACGGGCTATGATGCCCTCGGCCCCGACGCATTGAGGCTGTGGGCGGCGAGCGTCGACTACACCAAGGACGTGGTGATAGGCACGACGGCGCTTACGTCGGTGCACTCGATGCTCAAGAAGTATCGCACCATCCTCAAGATGCTTCTCGGATCGATGGAAGGGCCACTACTGGGTGAGGCCAGGCCTGCAAGTCGATACGACGTCATTGACCAGATCGCGCTCATGAATCTGAGTGACACCATGGCCGCGGTGGCGAAGCACTACGACTCGTTCGAGTTCTACAAGGGCCTCGCCGCCATGAACGTCTGGGTTTCTCACCACCTCTCGGCCGTTTATCTCGAGGCGCTCAAGGACAGGCTTTACTGCCGGAACGATGGGGACGGTGCGCTCCTGCCCATCTTTGATGGCTTCTGCAGGATGCTCGCACCAGTGGCACCGCTGCTAGTGGAGGAGGCGTGGCACCATGCTCCTAATTGGCTTAAATTGTAGGTCTCACCCACCCCCTCCCAGTCGTGAACCAAATTTGATGGGAGACTTGTCCTAACATATCGCGTCCCCGACATCTCTAGGTCTATTGCCCACCCCGCACGGCAGCTCTACGACGATCCACTGGTCGACCCGTTGCTGCTCACCGCCGACCAGCAGCGCCTCCGGCAGGCCCTGCCGGCGCTGGAGGCGGCGCGCGGAGCCGTCAACGCGGCGGTGGAGCAGGCCCGGGTGCACAAGAAGATCGGGCAGTCGCTCCAGAGCGACGTGACGCTGCTGACGGCCGACCCGCGCGCCCTCGACGCCTTTACGCTGCTGGGCGAGGAGAAGCTGGCGGCACTGTTTGTCGTCTCGACACTCCGCGTCCTCGACACAAGACCCGGCACTCTGCCGCCGCAGCCGCCGACCGAGCGCGCTTCTCTCGGCGCTGACCTGGGCTGGGAGTACACGGCCGAGGCGACGCTCGAGGGCGGCGGCGGCGTTGTCAAGGCCGTCGTCAGGCACCCACTCGACCACAAGTGCCCGCGCTGCTGGAGGTACCTGGCACCCGCCGACGGCGAGCTCTGCCGCCCGTGCGACGGGCTTTTGCACCCGAGCGGCGCGGAGGAGCCCTCTCCCTGATGGACGGGCCGCCTAGATGAGAGGCACGGCACGCCTTGGAATGAAGGAAGACGGTGCCAGGAGACTACAGTAACAAGATAATGCCATGCCGGTTGGACGTGGCGGCGGGGGCTTTATTTTCGCAGCCGTAGTTCCTTGCCTGGTCGAGTGGAAGGGTCGTGGTCCCTCTGCCGCCTTCCGATCCCTGTCAGATAGTATCGAGACCCGAAAGAACGGGGCATATATCATATATGTACGGTATAGGTCACTAAAGACCTGTTTCTCCGCTTCTACTTTCGTAGTCATCTTGGGAGTCCTCGAAGCATGTGAACAAAAACATGTTGGTTTTCAGCATTGATAAGAATGTGGTTTCTTAAAACCGAACGAATAGCACACATTTGACGAGATCCCTTTTATTGCTTGCTCTTCTCGAGCATTGTGTTGTGAATACACTAGAAATCACAGACCTCGTATCGAATACGTCCGTTTATGCTTCTTTTTGGTCCCATAACCTGGGCTACCTGCTGATACCACCACAAGTCCATCTATCTGGTCAACATGAACGCCTTTTTCGACTGGCACCGTAACAAAAACCATCTAGCAGCTCCCCCCCCCACCTGCCCTCAGATCTGCCGTATCTCCTTGCCCACCATCTCGGGCCTGTCGAGCTCCCACTCGTCGCGAAGGATGGCAAAGGTGAGGTCGCTGACCAGCAGGCTCTGCACGAGGGCCCAGACGAGGGTGATGGCGTAGAAGAAGTTGGCGTTGCCGCTGCCCGCGTAGATCCACAGGTAATAAAAGGCCGGGCCGAGGAAGACGGCGTAGGCCATGGTGGCGCCGACGACGAAGGAGTAGCGCATGAGCGGGAAGACGTGCCTGAAGAGCGGCACGAGGCCCAGGAAGAGCGACGTGTCGGCCACGGACGGGTAGGGCTTGAAGATGGCGAGGAGGCCGAGCAGGATGACGAGGGCGGCCAGGGGCTGGGCGCGGGCGCGGACCGTGACGCCGCCGACGTAGGCGGCCAGGTGCAGCCAGAAGACGGCGAGGAAGAAGGCGCGGAACGAGTCGAACATCTCGGTGAAGAAGTACCACCACAGGCCGACGTTTGGGGTCAGGTCGGCGAGCGTCAGCTGCACGCCGTACGTGGACGCGAGGAACTCCCACGACATGGACGTGACGAGGTACGAGAGCGACAGGAGCGCGAGGAGCACGGCCGTCACGACGCCGACGCCGACGCCGGCAAAGGTGCGGAGCGACGACGAGACGCGGCGGCCGCCGCGGCGCGAGGACGAGGTGGCCAGGGACGACGGGGTCGCGGGCGGCTGGCGGTCGTAGGCGAGCACGACGAGGGGCGGCAGCAGGAGCAGCGGGTACATGGAGAGGTAGGACGCGAACGAGAGGGCGACCAGGGCGCCGAGCGGGGCGCCCGAGACGGCCTTGGCTATGGCGCTGAGGATGGCGCACGTGGTGAAGACGCTGGTCGAGCGGCCGAGGCAGGTCGCGAGGGTGAAAGGACTAAACAGGTATCTGGAAGTCCAACAGAAAGAGCCGGGTCAGTCAGGGCTTATGATGTCAAGGAGCGTTCAGGGGGCGGCGGCGGGTAGACTCACAGGGCAGCGACGACGGCACCGCCCCACCTCCTGGCGCGGCGCGGGGACTTGAAGTGCGCCGACCAGGCGGCCTCGCCCGAGTCGGCGATGCGGTGGAGCGCATGGGCGCTGGCGAGGTCGACGGCGATGTAGAGCAGCGAGGTGAAGATGGGGTAGGCCGAGACGTCGGGGAGGAGGGAGAAGAGCGGGAGGAGGAGCGGCGCCTGGTGGTAGACGCCGCCGTCGTAGGGGGAGACGTTGTGGTTGTAGAGGAAGAGGCCTTCTTGGACTGGCGGGAGAGATGGGGGGTCAGCACGGGACGTGGGGGGAGAGAGGACAGGGGGAGGTGCACGCACGCCTCTTGAAGCTCGACACCGGGGTCGAGATCTCGACGCGGCCGGTCAGGAGGTCGGGCAGGCCGGGGAAGAGGGCGAAGAGGGCGAAGCGCAGGGCGGCGGCGGCCGCGTACAGGCCCGCTGTGCTGCCTGGTGTCATGATTCCTCCATTCATTGCCTTGCGCAGTCCCCCATGGCCCCCGATGGCAAGGCTATATTTGGTGGTCGTTGGGGGTTTTGTCGCATCAGCATGTGCTGTCTGTCTGTTCGCGGTCTTGTTCTCTCTGCCGCCGCCGTTGTACCGTGTAGGCCACGACGCAATTGGGGCCACAATTTTGATAGGTGCACGGCAGGGACCGTGGCTAACAGTGGGGCCAGCTGGTGGTTTGTGGCCAATTACGCAACAGCTGAACCTCTCCAGGAGGCATAGCTGTGCTGAGTCTCGAAGCTGTTCATTTTCATTTCAATTCCACGCCAATTCTCCTCTGCCCAGCTTGAACCGAAGCCATAAATCCATCAGAAGCAGCAATCGCATGGCGAGATCACCAGACCAACACCACTCACTGATGCTCACGCCAGCCCAGCCTCGAGTCGGAGTCTCCGTTTCCAACGCCTGCGGCCGAGCGGCGCCGGCCTCGGGCTGGGCCGTCGCCCATTGGTGCGGTTGAAATCCAGGCCGCCGGCTAAAATGGCAGACGTTCTGGAGCTTCTGGAGCTCGAGACTTGTGGGCTCAACCCCATCACTCGGACGCCCGCCTCAGTGGGGCCCGGCCGCGGTTGTCGCGACACACACAGTGAGGAGGGAGCTCCCCGCGCTGGAGGAAGGGGCACTGGACCAGAGGAAAATTTCGCACATCACTGGGCTGCGGGAAAGCATGGGCGGTGGCAACGGTTTGGATGCCCCCTCCATCCCCCCCCAGACGCCGCGAGCTCTCTGGATGTGGCAAGTCCAAGACGTACGTGCTGGATGCGGGTTGGCGCGGGAAAACACGCGCGGGCTTTTTGTGTGATATGTGCTCCATCCACCAAGAACCAAAAGTCCCTCCCTGTGCATGATATAAATCGACTCGGTCATGGAGGCCCTGGAAACAAGAGTTGGGGTCTCCTTCCCCATCCGTCAGCGTCCTTCCCTGCTGCCTGTACTTGGTGATCTCCAGCTCCATCTAGTCAGGCTCTTCTCCATTAATCCGTAATCTGAGATATTCACTCGTGCACAATCTACCCCTCTGTGCTTCTGATCTGTCCCTCCTTCCTCGCCCTGTTTGACTCGGTTGTTACTGAACAAACACCCCTCAGTCTCGAGCTCACCGTCACTCAAAATGGCGTCGCCGACAGAGGGCAAGTCTGTAAGAAGGATCGCCATGCACAACTCAAAACCCCCGCGCCCCTGACTAACATCCCCCCCCACCAGAACCTCTCCTTCGTCCTCAACAAGACCCATGACGTCTGCTTCGAGGACCGCCCGGTGCCCGAGCTGGCGACGGAGCACGACGTGCTCGTCGCCGTCAACTACACGGGCATCTGCGGCTCCGACGTGCACTACTGGCAGCACGGCGCCATCGGCAACTTCGTCGTCAAGTCGCCCATGGTGCTCGGCCACGAGTCGGCCGGCACCGTCGTAAAGGTTGGCCCCGCCGTCAAGACCCTCTCGGTCGGCGACCGCGTCGCCCTCGAGCCGGGCTACCCGTGCCGTCGCTGCGCCGCCTGCCTGGGCGGCAAGTACAACCTCTGCCCGGACATGCGCTTCGCCGCCACCCCGCCCTACGACGGCACCCTCGCCGGCTTCTGGGCCGCGCCCGCCGACTTTTGCTACCGCCTGCCCGAGTCGGTCAGCCTGCAGGAGGGCGCGCTCATCGAGCCGCTCGCCGTCGGCGTCCACATCGCCCGCCAGGCGGGCGTGCGGCCCGGCGAGTCCGTCGTCGTCATGGGCGCGGGGCCCGTGGGCCTGCTGTGCGCCGCCGTCGCGCGCGCCTTTGGCGCCTCGACCGTCGTCAGCGTCGACATCGTGCCCTCCAAGCTCGAGGTGGCGCGCAAGATTGCCGCCACCCACACGTACCTGTCGCGGCGCGTGTCGCCCGAAGAGAACGCGCGCGGCATAATCGAGGCCGCCGGCTTGGGGGCCAACGGCGGCGCCGACGTGGTCATCGACGCCAGCGGCGCCGAGCCGTCCATCCAGGCCAGCCTGCACACGGTCCGCGTGGGCGGCCGCTACGTGCAGGGCGGCATGGGCCGCGCCGACGTCACCTTCCCCATCATGGCGCTGTGCGTCAAGGAGGTGACGGCCAGCGGCTCGTTCCGCTACGGCAGCGGCGACTACAAGCTCGCCATCGACCTCGTCGCCCAGGGCAAGGTGGACCTCAAGGCCCTCATCAGCGAGACGGTCGCCTTTGGCCGCGCCGAGGACGCCTTCAACAAGGTGAAGGAGGGCCAGGTCATCAAGGTCCTGATCGCGGGCCCCAACGAGGAGATCAGCAGAGCCCACGCGGCTGGGTCTTCGTGAATGGAGGAAGGGGAATTGGGTTGGGTATTTGCCGGTCAGATAGTGGCCATCCGCGTGATATCTTTCTAGAGAGAAAAAACAACCGAATTATTATAACCGAGTGGTCGGTTTGTGTGTACATGCGGGCTCAGCCGCCCATCCATCGAATACCACCGTGACAGGGGTCGAGACGGCATTGGGCACTTCACCCGGCCGGCTCGCCGCGTCGCTTTTGCCTCGAGCTCGTGCAGCATCTCGCAGCCGCAATGGCCTGATCTGCAAGGAGGGGGATGGGACTGAACCCGGTCTACTGGCCCGGCATGCACATGCATGGGTGTTGTTGCTACCGGCAGGAAAAGCACGCGCTTCCATCTTCATTTCTATTAATACCAATGTGTGCGACAAAAGGAATGTGTGTTTGTGTGTGTTTCTTCACGGATTGGATCCCAGACTTTGCATGCTCGAGTCCCCTGGGGTATCAAGATTCCCATACAGATACAAAATGGATACAGACAAAAGGCAACATAAGAAAAGATATTGGCCAAGTAAGAGATGTGTGAGAAGTTAACAAAAAGGAAATCGGGCGGGGTACACAGATTAAGGGTATATCAAAGAAGACCTCATCGACATGGAGAAGAGAGGAAAAAAAGAACAAGAAAAAAGGAGTAAAAACAAACGCATGCTTTTACTGTGCTCAACACCGTCACCACCGAATGATTCTGCCCTTGTCGTTTATCTTGAGAATGTCCAGAATCGGTCGTTGAATATTGTTCAACAAGACATAAAAAGATGGCTTGGAATTGCTTCACAACGGAACAAAAAAAAAAAAAAGACCTAAAGCCAAAGTAGCCACCTGACACCGCCAACGATGCCCTTGCCGATGCCGAGAAAGACGCGGGCGATGACGACGACGGCCCAGACGTACCACATGAAGCCGACGAGCGCCCACTCGACGGCGAGCCAGCCGGCACGGCGCAGCCAGCGGAAGCGGCGGCGGCGGCGGCGGAGCAGCTTCTCGATGACGTCGATGACGCGCTTGACGCGGAGACGCTGTCCCGCGGCCAGGTCGCGCGACACGTCATCGGCCTCGTCGGCTGCGGCGCGCGTCAGCGATGACAGGTCGACGGCCACGCGGGCACGCACCTCGTCGACGCGGGCCAGGAGCGCCGGCGCCGTGTGCACGCTGAAGGCGTCACTCTGTTGCGTCCACTGCCGCGCCGACCGCTGCATCGCCTCCGACGCCTGTTGTGCTGCCCGGCAGTGCCGCGCCGCCGCCAGCGCCGGCGGCAGCAGCATCTGCTGCTGTTGCTTCCGAGATGACTGCCGGGACTGCTGTACAGCAGTTGTGCGCTTGGCCAGCTCCGAGGCCAGGATTCCCGATCGCATGATGTGCACCCGCAGCCGCGCCACCTCGTGCCTGTCCAGCTTGCCGCCCCGCGACAGGGGCGAGCCGCGCTCTAGGAGGGCCAGGTCCGTGGCCGAGATGCGACGTACCTGGCGCCGTTCCTGCTGTTTGTCCTTGAATAGGGTGAGCGCAAGACCGAGTTTGACGGGGCTGGCATCCATCCCATCCTCGTCGCCCTCTGGGTCGGGCTGCGGCCGCATGGCTGGAGAGGGGCCGGGAGACGACGGCGTCGCGGCCTGGACGTCGAGCCTTGGAGGACGAAGCATATCAAAGCGCGGAGACCGCTGACTAGGCGGTCGGGCAAGAGGCATGTTTGAGTGGTCAAATCCGTCTTGCCCTGCCTTGCCGCTGCCTCCTCCCATCGAAGACTGTGGGCTGAAGGGTGGCATGATGTCGAGGAAGTGCTTGGCTTCTCGCTTGAGCGTCCCCCGCTGTGTGGTCCCTGGGTGCATGGGTACGGGCGCTCTGTCGCGGCCTCGACTCGACTCGTCGTCGGTTACGTCCGTGTCGGTGTTTGTGAAGACGGCATCGTCGGCTCCGGACGCGTGGCCCACCGCTGTCGCCTCGGCTCCCGAGCCCGCGGCGTCTTCCAGCGCCGACGGCTCCTTCTTCCACAGCAGCTCGCTGACCTTGGACACGCCCGACCGTAGGACGCTGTCGATGCGCGGCGGGCCCTTGGCGAAAAACCCGCGCAGGCCCGATGACTCCTCCGTGGTCATCTTGAGGCTGGGGTGGCTCTTGTGCGTCTTGTGGCTGTCACCCGTCGTCTTGGACACCAGTTTGCGGACGGGCGACGGTATCCTTGCCGGGGGAGACCGTCCGAGGTGATCAGGAGACAGAGTCAAGGGCGGGGTCGAGTCCAAGATGGGGGGAGACGTTAGGCGTGGGGGTTTCTCGTGCTGGTCTGGAGCCGAGCTTGCAGTGTTTGGAGCGGCACCCCAGTCGTCCCTATCATCCGGGTGGCCACGTCCCCTGCTACGATCCCGCAGCTTCTGTTTGACCCGGCTGAAGGGATTACGCGACGGCGACCCGGACCGGCTGGGAACTGGGGACAGATCCATGCCGATGGGCAGCACAAAAGCACCGTCCCCAACGCGCGTTGGCCGCAGGTCTGGCGACGCTGGCTGGGACGAGTCGTAGTCGAAAGAGAGCGCCCTAGGACGGCGCCCGAGGAAGGCGGGCACCTCGAGGCTTTCCCGGCCTGCCCCGGGGCTGGCCGGTGACCCAGGCCCCTTGGCGAGGGAGAGTGGTGCACGATCCGATTCTCCAACTGCCCTCCTCAGCGCAGCAAGGGCAGCCATCTTCTCCTCTGCCGCAGTGAGGCTATGGATCGATTCGCGCGAACCGAAGCGGCTGTTTGCACGGCTGTTTACACGGCTCAGAGACGATGGCACCGAGCCCTTTGACTTATCGGGCGCGATCCCGGTGGAAGCGCCCGTCGGGAGAGGCTTAGACCTTGGCGTCGCGTCCTCCTGGTCGAGGCTGGGACGGCCGCCAGCCTGGGCCAGTCTCTCACGGTTCTCCCTGGCGATCATTTCAAGCATCTGCTTTTCGAGCGCGCCCTTGCCGTCGGCGGTGATAGTGCCTACGCGCACGATGCCGCGCTTCCTGCGATCGCTGTCCGAGTCGGAGTCTTCCGAGACGGACCCCTTCCTGGGCCGCATGAAGTCGTGGGCAACGCTTCCTGCGAACGAGCTGCTGTGCCTGTGATGCCTGAGGTGGTGAAGCTTCTGGCGCGCCCGCTCTCTAGCAGTGCTGAGGACGTGTTCGTGGTCTCCCCCGTGAGATGTCTTGCGTTCGAGTTGTAGCGATGAGCGCTTTGGTGCCGCAGTACTTGTGTCCTGGATAGCCTCCTGCATGGAGCTCGGCGCAACGAGTGCCGCGGCCGCCGTTCCGGCCAACAGGGCCCCGATCGTGTTGAGGTTCTTTCCGGGGGATTGCAGTTGCAGTGGCTCCGGACCTTGTGGGAAGACGCGCCTCCAGTTGCGATCCTCGACGCACTTCTTATTGTCGTCTTGCTCGAGCCAGTAGACGTCGGCGACCAGGTCCGCGGGGTCGATGAGCCAGTCGACCCGCGGCCTTTTGGGCTTTGCCGTGATAAGCGCAGAGTTCCTGTTAGGATTCCCGGCAGGCGGCGATCCGAGGGCCGTGGAAGACTCGGCCGGGGCAAACGGGGGCAAAGCGCTGGCGCCGATGGTCCTGTTCTGCCCCATAGCTGTCCAGTGCGCGACGTGATCGACCCAGTCGGTGACGTTTGCAACATCGCCGAACCCTTGCCCGTCACCATCGATGGCTCGCCGCTCCCGGGCCCGCACCTTGCGGTTCCGGATGTACTGCAGCGGGTTGTACTCGCGGCCCAGCTTCACCATCAGCTCGACGCCGGCGTAGGCTGCCGGGTTGGATGGGCCTGGGACGGGTGACCCCGGGCCGCTGCCCGACGTGTTGGTCCGAGCGAATTCGGGCTTTAGCGGCGGCACGAGCTCGAGCAGGCGCCTGTGCTGGGCAAGCAGCTCGAGGTAATCCTTGGCCTTTTGGGCTCTGGCCAGAGTCGATTGTGAAAAGTGGTAGCGAAACCCATTCCCAGCGCTGGCGTTTATCTCGGCAAGGTCGAAGCCTGGATGCAGTGGGCTGGAGACGCGCTGCTGGCCGGCCGATACGATCCTGCCGGGTATTGGGGATATGTTGCGGGAGGACCTTCGTTGCTGATGAAGGTGCTGCCGCAGACCGGCTCCCAATTTTGACGCACCTCCGTCGGACGGCACCGGGGCGAGCTTTGGCGGAGCCAGTGGCTGCGAGACGTTTCGTCTGGCGGCAAGACGCCTGGACTCGCTCAGACTCAAGGCCATGTTCACGATCTGGGTGGAATCCAAGTCGAGAGCGGAGGACGGCCGGGCAGAGACGGAAGTGGATGGGGCCGAGGACGAGGTCCCTGGGGCTGGGCCTACTGGTGCTCGACGTATATGACGCTGTGCATAATCTTCGAATGCTATGGGGGGACCGCCATAGCTGGCGGGCCTGGCCGCTGCTTGTGTTGCTGGAGGCAGCCCCGTGACGGCATCGTGGCCATGCAATGCCAGAGGCCTCGGCACTGCGGCATCGCTGGTAAAGCTATTGTTGTTTTTGTTGTTGTTGCCATCTGGCTGTGGTAAAGAGAGCGCATTCTGAGGGGAGATGGTGTTTGCAGGAGGGCTCGAGTATAGCGCGGTGTCGGGGGCGGTCGATATTGGCGTTGGCGTGAGACTGTGGCGGGCCTTGGCCTCGCTGAGGTTCTGTCTTCTCCTCCGGCTGCCCGGATCGCCGGAGCTGCCGCCGCTGCTATGAGCTCCGTGTTGATCGGAAACCGGGCTGTCGAACAGGCCGCCGGACAGGAGGAAGCCGCCGCTGGATCTATTCTTACGGGAGCGCAGGTAGGCGTTGGCATCCCCGCCGCCAGCCCGGGACGTGCTCAGACCGGGACCAGCATTGGCAGCAGGGACGCCAATGCCATCGCCGCGGCGGCGATGACGCGGCGCTGCGGACAGGGGCGGGAGGTTATCTGTGGCGCTCTCGGAGGGTGTCGAGTGGTCGGTCATCGATGGAGTTCGGGGATCGGAGGAGCTCGTGTGCGACGGCGACGTGGCTATCGTGGTCGTCGTAGCCGAGGCGGGCGGTTCGGGTCGGAAGGGGTTCAGGGCGTTTGCGGCGCTGCTGGGGCTGGCGTTGCTACCGCCGCTCGCGGCTGGGAGGGTCGGCGGAGGAGGCCTGCTTAGCCTGCTTACGGGCGTGTTCAAGCTCGCGGCATGGCTGTCGTTTGCGTGGTGGGCGTTGGCGTTGGGATGGCGGCTGGGCGGGAGCTGGTAGGGGTTGTTGAGCAGCTGCAGGTGATGCTTCTGGTGATGCTTCTGGTGATGCCGGCGGTGGGGACGAGTTTGATGATGGCCGGCATCGTGCTCCGTCATTGCGCGACTCAGGGCTCAGAGTTGGTGAATCGAGGCGGCCAGGCTGGCAGTTTAGGGGAGCGCTGGCGATTCACATCACATGTCAGGCATCGATTGCTGTCGACGCCATTCAGCCAACCAAGGAGTCGTCGCAGCAGTTGCAGCAGCACGCAGAACCAAAAGGGAGCTACCGTCAATGGTTTGCACGAGCAGGAAGCCAAGAAGCGACACCGCCCGACGATCTGGGAACGGCGGAAAAAGTGTTGGGTTGCAGTCTGGTGGCATCCACAACCAAGGAAGACCCTGGCCGTGCTCTCGTTTTGGTCCAAATCTGGATTTAGCGAAGCGCTCAATTCTGTATTTAGCGAAGGGGGCTGTTTGTCGCCACCGGAAGCCGACGCTGTGGGCTTGCAAAATGTAGATATGAATGCAGCGAATGCCCACACTCTGGAGTCCAGAGTCTGGACCACATCCATGCAAGCTATAACGAGAAATTCTGCCCTTTTTTTCCTCCATGATCTTCTCCGTGCTTTCATTTCTTCCCAGCCAGGAACCGCGCCCGTCCGACCTATCGCTAGCGCGCCGCTGGCAGGACCGTCAGCCAATCAGCAGTGCTATGCCTTAGCTATGCCCCCAGCAGTGGTGTTTTCACTCTTTTCTGTCCGCCTGTCTGCACTAATGCTGGTGCATCGGCACTGCACGCGTGGAGCCAGCGGGGAGACGGGGCCAAGCATGGCGGCTGCCGGACCGCACCCCGTGAGACCTCTACGTCAGCAGGACACCAGGACACCAGGACACGAGGACAAGACGGTCTCGAGTTGGCGCTCGGCATGTGAATTCCAGACCGAAATCGGCGCCAGCTCAGATCGACGGGCCTAGCTGAGGCGATTGATGCGCTGGTCCAGATGCCAGTTGCGGTAAGACAAGGCCAGGCTGTAGCGGCTGTCTTGTGCGCTCAACTCCTGCTCGCAGCTCCGACGTGCAGCGGACCGTGGGCCGCGTGCGACGCCGACGGTTCGTGGAACCGAGGAGCAGCCATCGTGAGTCCCTCTGTCGATGCGACTATGCCTTCCCGCGGCTCTCCACCACCATACGACCTGCAATCTGTACTCCCATTCATCCATCTTCCAGGGGAATCTTCGATGGTGGTTCCCAGGGACGAGAGAATCACGCCAGGCCAGCGTTGGGCCTGACTGTCGTCTCCATTCTTGTAAAGACAGCCCTCTGAGCCTGGACCACCCAAACAGGCTGTGGTCGTCTGAGAATAACGTCATGGACCAGAACCGCCTTCTCCACCCAGACAGTTCCCACTCACGCTGTTTAAAAATGCCATGAAATCCAAAGTTGCAGGGTATCGAATATTTATTTCTTTTTTTTTATACCCTCCCTTGCCTTCCAGCCCCCGTCATCCGATACCATCCACGGTCTGGCCAAAAAAGCCTGGACCGTAAATTTTTTCCCCCGCCTAAATTCTACCTCTCCCAACACAATTGCACCAGCACCAAAGCCAAACAACATGCCCGCGCCGCATTCTACACCTAAAAAAACACGCGTTCAAGGAATTTGTAATTATTTTAATGCAAAAAGCATTACTTATAGCCACAATAACGTTTTTCGCTTTTTATAAATGCAGAGGGTAAAATAATTGCAGATTGAATGAGCTCCTTTTTTTTGTGGTGGTGGGGAATAAATTTGCGGTCCAGACTTTTTTTGGCCAGACCGTGCCATCTCAGCTGCGCTGCAGATGGCTATCGATTCCAATCTCCGCCTCTCGCATCTCTGAATACCACTCTCCTGGTGAATCCGATTTGCACACGCAATGGCGCACTCCTTTTTCTTTCATCCTCTTCTATCCCCTCCCCTTCTCCTTTGCGGCCGTACCGCGTATTGCTACAACCGTGCTGGGGGAGACGTGTTGACGCAACACTTGGCGATACCCTTGTTGCCCCTTGTTCTTGT